CCCGCGCGGGGCTGGCGCGATCCGGGCCGCCCCGAGGCCTCCAGGCCGCGCATCCTCACCGCCAGGCGGCGGATCCGCCTGGAGAAGGCTGCTCGGCAGCCGCGGGAAGGGGAGAAGAAAGAGGCATCAGGAGCCCGGGCCACCCCCGTTCCCGCGCAGCCTCGCGCTCCACGGAGGGCTGAGGCGCCCAGGCCGACCTGCTCCTTGTCCCCGTGTCCGGGACATCGACCCACACCCCGCTTTCCCGCACCCCAGGCTGCTCCTCAAAATCTCCCTGGGTTCCCCTGAAGTCCAAGCGGCCCGAGGGCTCTGTGTGGGGTGCTGGCTGCTCACCCCGCCTCCTCTGAACGGCTCTTCGAAGCACGAGCCCCAGGAGCGCCAGCAGCAGGAGGCCCAGGACGCTGGGGATGAGGATGTGAAAGCCTTGGTCTTCCCTCCCAGCCTGGGAGCCGGGGGTGAATGCTCTGGGGAGGGGAGGAAAAGGAGAGACGAGGAAAAGAAGGTTAGGAAGGAACTTAGCTTTCAAGAAAAGCTCTTGGGCAACCAGCTTTTGGGGAGGCGATTCCCAGATCGGTCCCTTTGTTAGAATTCTCCCCACTCTCCCCAGGAGACTTGTTGGGGAGTGAGGAAACGGTCTGAATTCAGGTTCTGCCCTCGCCTGTCTGACGGATCCCTAACAAGTCTCATTTCCCCATAAATGGGTTTAGTAGAACCCATCTCAGAGAACCGTTAGGACGACGAGATCAGTGGATTTGTAGGGTTGAGTGCATCTGGCGTTTTAGCAGGTTCAAATCCCCACCCCACATGCTGCACCTTGGTCCACTCAGGATTATTGCAAATAGTAAGCGAGCTAGTTTCTTAGAACTGTGGAAGTGTTCCCCCTGCAAGTGCTCCCAAATGCATAGGTCTTCCTCCACTTCTACATACTGAAGTCTTACTTTTCTGAGGGAGCTGGTGCCCGAGTCCTGTTTTCGCCAAGCATAGTAAGCCAGAATCAATTTTTTTCATGATGTGTTTCCAATTCTGTTCGTGCCCATCACAAATCTCGTCACAGACTTGTATTAGTGAGACCCACGTATTGCATATTTCTATCGTTTCAACGACTTACGGATATAGCACAGAGGTTGGTAGATAGCTGAGACTAAGGACATGTTGGTTAAATTTACTTTTCCTGTGATAGGTTGATGTGAGTTACCAAACTAGGAATCAGAGTCCTGATTCTTTCTGAAACCACTTAGTTCTCAGATTTCCCATTTCCAGAACCAAAATGATGTTGGAGATCCCTTTCTTCATTGACGTACAGTACTGCATTAGTGTTTGCGTAGGAAAAGAGAATTCCGATTATTAGGGGTTTTCTTCGGCATCTGCTATAATGCTGCCACCTAGTGGTCGATTGCTGTTCTTCCCTGGACTGGGTCCCCTCTCTAGCCCGGTGCTGTCCAGTGGCGCTACTACTGTATATGTCACCTGTGTAGTTTTAAACTGCTGGTACCCCTTAAAAAGTAAAAAGAAACCGGTGAAAGTAACTTTAACAATTAGTTTTGTTCTCATTCAGCTCTTCCCCATCAGAACAGATTTAATGAATCTGAGTGAAAGACTTGAATCTCACTTCTTTCTGCAAGGTTAATGCTGGGACATAGACAGGTGCACCTTACGAATGGGATTAATGAATTAAGTGCTCTGCTTGGTGCATTTCACGCCTATTTCTGGAAGTGATGCCAAGAAGGGTCCCCAAGAGTGGGCGTCGCTGGAAAGTTTCAGCGGGTCTTAGTTCTAGCCTACCTTGCTGGGCTCGAGCTCGTCATGGAGGGTGGAGGCTCTTACCTTTGCCTGTGAAGCCAGGAGTGGTGCTTGTAACTGGCCTCCTGGGGCCCGAGCACCCCTTCCTGAGCCGAGGTGTCTGAGGCTGTGGTGGATGGCAGGAGTGTTGGCAGCTTGGCAGTTGCTGCCGAGGATGCTGTGGAAGGTCGAGGCTGGCGGGTGGTTGGAGTGGTGATGCCGGAGTGGTGGACTGGAGGGGCCTCAGTCCTTTGAGCTGGTGTGGCAACTGTAAAAGACGGCAAGAAAAAGTAACACTCCTTATATGCGGTGCTCCCACAGGACTGGGCTACCATCTCTTTCCTCAGTAACCTCTTCCATTTTGCCTAGGTTTTTCTTTTCTTTTCTTTTCAGTACCAATGGACTGAAATGCCTCCATACTGCTCCACTGGCACCTAAGCAGATTCATGTGTATTTGCTTCAAGTGGTATTTCCTCCAGGAAGCCTTCCCTAACTTCCCAGGCAAAAGAGCTTACTCTCCTCTGAGCAGGCAGAGAACTGTACCATTCTGTCTTGTGCTGTCTTTGTGTGCTCATCTGTTGTCCCCACCTCATATCTGTTAGTCACAACTGTGGCTCTGTGACTTTACTACACCTCTCTGCTCAGTGGCATCACAGCGTCTCCTACTGTAATAACTTTCACTTAATGTGCTGACCTCATAGGGTACATATGAGGAGAGGAGAGAAACATTGCGGGTCAGAATGCACCACAACTGGAGAATGATACTGAAATATGGAATTGTTAGTAGGGCAGTCATTCATCTTTTATTGCATAATAGAGTTGGTAGAACTGCTAGGTGCCAGCAGGTAGAAGACAGCTCTGTGGGTGGCAGGAGGTGTGATGACCTTCAGCTGGGAAATGCCTGTCCGGACTTGGATTCTGCAGTCATTCATAAAAAGAGCTAGATTTTGTGAATGGAGCCTAAACGTCATTGCTTGTGGTGCCCCCTGGTGGTGATGTGGAAGTTCTGCAACCAGGGTGGGCTGTCTGGGCTATAGGATGCGGAAGGCCTACCAGAGGAAGGTCTCGTCTCTTAAGATATGGAAATACACATCTGAGACTCAGTTCTGCTCTGCCAGCCACTCTGTGAGCCAAACACACTCCCCTGCATTTTCACAACACCACAGCATCTTCTCCACCCCTCCTCGCCTTTGGTGCACTGACCTTTGGGTATGAATTCGGCATCCCTGGCCTGTGGAAGCATCTGAAGCCAGTTGGGCATGTGTTGTTGCAGAAATTCATACAACAATTTCTGAGGCTCAGACATGGGCTCCTCCTCCAAGAATGGCTCATACTCTACTGAAAGCAAGAGAAATATGTTGGTGGTTGCTGAGGGGGAGACTGAGGTCTGGGAGGGCATGTTGGTATAAATAGAAGGTGACCTCACTAAGGTGGATGGTGACAAGGGGATGAGGGGAGACTACACTGAGAGTAACTGGACAGGAATGGGGCTTGGGGCTCCCCAAAGGAAATACTCTTTCCCCCTGGCCCCGCCGACACTCCCTGCCAAGCCATCGGAGACTGCTGGCGGTGTAGGCTGCTGGCTCAGTACAGCATGTGAGGAGGAAATCACTGGAGAAGAGGAGAACGGTGGGATTCAGGAGAAATCAAGGCCCAGACCACACAGTGACAAATCTGGCCTACAAATATGGCTCGATTGTTTAGTGTCTTTTGTCTACATTCATTTCTGGAGTTTCTCATGAGACAGTTACATAGCACAATTATGTCATTTGCTTCCAGTTTCCTCTAGTCTCAGAGCCTCTGCACAAGTTCACGCCACCCTGTCCTCTCATCCACTGGGTAGGATGGGCACCATCAGTACAGCACCCATCTTGTGCTTTCATCTGCTGAGTGTAGAAAGTTCCATGGCCAGAGGGTAATTGGCTGTGCGGTTCAACCATGTAGAGGCCAATTGTTACTGAACTGGCTAACGTGACAATAGTATCGAGCCTCATATGGCGAGGTGGTTGTCTTCACGCCAAATGGAAATATTTTCTGGGCAGCTGGTGACTCACCATTGTGGACATTCAAGGTGACTTTCTGGGTTTTGCCTCGGTCTGTGTTCTTGCCCAATCCACAGGCATAGACCCCACTGTCACTTTCAGTGAGCCCTGACAGCTCCACTAGAAACTGATTCTTGTCTGAACATGGCATCAGAGCGACCCGGTGCCTGTATTTGTCATTGACAAAGTTGTTGGATACCACCGTATTACACGACCCCGTGTTAACCATCTGCCGGCACAGGTACATCCGCACTTCTGTTTCTCCAGCAAGCGGGCACTCGATGACAACAGATCCGCCCAGGGCTCCATCCAGAGTTACTTCTGGGAGGATCTTCAGAGCCCCGGAGACTGCAGAGAGAGGGGGTGGATGTAGAGGAAGTTCCATCGTCACCATCAGCTCACCCTCTGTCAACCCTTAGTCTCACCCAACAGTGATTCCTGCCCACGTCCTCAGCTTCTTCCCATGCCCAGCCCTATTCACAATCTCAGGCCAGTTCTGGGCACCTCCCCAGTGCTATGCCTCAGCCTTAGCTTAGCCTTAAACTCCAGCCTCATCACCAAACCTAAGCCCTGAAGGACCCAGACATCACCCCCCGAGAATATAATCAGAACTATCACACCCATTTCAAGGAGAAACAATGTGCCTCAGTGACCCTGAAAGAGCGTGTACCTCCCAGTGACCTCTTTTGCGTGGGGTTGGGAGACACTGCAGCGCCGTGCTGTGGCACACTGCCCTTCCCAGTTTGTTTTGTTCGGGTCCATCCCACTGACCATTCATCCCAACCGCTCTCTAAGTTCAATCACTCGGCAAATGTTTCTCGAATGCCTTTCTTCTCATCCTGCCCTCACAGAAGGGATCATTTAGTGAATGATACCAACAGACAGCCACCATGGCACAGTAGTGTAATAGATTCCATGACAGAGAGAGCACAGTGTCCCTTGGAGAAAGCAAGAAGGGACCCCGAGCCTGCTGTGGCGGGGGTGGTGTCATCAGAGGGAGCGATGTCCAAGCTGGGACCTGAAGGAAAGGCATGGGGCCCTGAGGACGATGATGCTTGTCACAGAGGCAGCGAACTCGCGAGGGAAAGCAAGGGCATGCATGAGCGTGAGTGCATGCCTGTGGGGCTGTGCACACTTTGCATAAGTGATGGGGAGGGGTAACAGATGTGGGTTGCAAGCCCCTGACATCAAAAGCTTATGTTTTGGGTTAGAGGAGGCGGATCGAGTGCAGTTCAGCCAGCTGCAGGAAAGGGTAGGGACGAGGATGATTAAATGTTAGCTGAGTGGGTTCCAATAAGTGGCTGCCTATTTCTAGGAAGAGCATTCACAGGGTAAAGTGTGTATGAGCGTGTATGTATATGTCTGGGTGAAGCTGGAGAGCTGGGTTAGAGAAGAGAGTCTTCCAGAACAAGAACAGTCCTCGTGGAGGCAAGGGTCCAAGAGGGAGCAAGTGGTCCACGCACAGAGGGCAGTCTGCAGACTTACCGAGAGGCATCCACAGATGCCTTCAGAACACTTCCAAAGAGCTCAATCAAATCAGAGTCAAGAGCAACAATGGGAGCGTAGAGGGGCTTGGATTGGGAGTTCAGGTAGATGGCAGAAGGTGGACAAGAGTAAAGAAGCAGAAATAATCACGGGGGCAAAGATGCGTTAGGGGAGGGTGGAGAGGAGCCAGAAAGGTGCCTCCACCAGGAGCTTGTTGGGATCTAAAAGTGCAGCCAGCGTTAATGTGATCAGCGGCGCCAGCACAGAAGAAATATGAGCTCCGGCTGGGAGCAAACCCAGCACTACTTTAAGTACAGCCACGAGGTGGCCTCACTGCTGGAAGGAGGCAACAGAAGTATGATCTGTCCACAAAGTCCCAACCAAAGGGCAAAGACCCAGTTGGGGTGAAGGAGCCCACACCTGAGGGAAAGCTGAGTGTGAGGACAGAGGAGCAGGAGTGGTTTTGGTTTTGTTTTTTTTTTTTTTTTTCTCCAGTACAAGGAACCGAACTCACGACCTTGCACTTGCCAGGCAGGTGCTTTGCCGCTGAGCTAAATCCCCAGCCCCGAAGGAGTGGTTTTGAATGGTGCTTACCCACCAGAAGGGGCTGGGGAACGAACCTGCTTTCCCAAGGGCAAGACAGAGCAGGGGTGGGGGTCCTCGCCTGCCAGGTAAATTCCTGGCTTGCTCGCCCAGATCATTGTTGCTCACACACTGGAGCAAAGCTGCATACCCTGAGCTTGGGTCAACCAGCGACTACTAGTGGGCACTATGAAAATGACCAGACCCCAGCTCATCATTCAAACCAGCTCGCTTTGAAGTTCGTACCAGCTTCTGACTGTTATTGAAGACTTAGAGAAGGAGGTTTCCAAAACAGAGCAAAGGTAGTGGTAATCTGGTTTAGAATTCTAGAATGGCGCAGTGTATATAGGCATTGTCCGAGGGGAGCTCACTAAGATAAAGGGGGCTTGGCTGCCCTGAGCCAAGGCCTTGCTGCTGTCTGGGTGGGGCCTGGGGATCTGCATGGGAGGTGAATGTGCCAGGTGCCCTTGCATTTCTGCAGCCCTGGGCTGTATAACTACACAGGGAAGACAGTAGAAAGAATCCCATGGAGCCAACCTGTTTAGTGTTAACATCTTAGAAAGGCTACTAAGCAGGTGGTACTGATCTCTAAAGTGGTGCTAGATTTTTAATGGTAATGGTAGGGAAGGAGGAGATACTGGTTTAAATGGTCACTTAATATATTATTGGGTATACAAGTTGTGATAGAAAATATGGTGAATATCAAACCATTTCTAAAAATGTATTACAGTAAAAACCCCTCAAAATATTCCTTCTCACTTTTAGCACACACACCCCCTTACTGTTCTTGCCCCTTTCTGCAGCGGTTCTGGAAGTTCCCTTTCATGTCCTTAATTGTGCTGTTGTGGCTGCCTCCATCCCCTGAGCCAATTCAGAACCTCTGCCTTTCATGGTCATTTTGACTTTGAGGAAGAGCCAGAAATTGCACAGAGCCAGACCCGCTGAATAAAGTAGATGAGAACACACTATAAGTTTTTATTTGACAAAAATTGCTGTAAATATTTTGAATAGATTCAAGACATCAAAGCAGCCATGAAAAGACACTCTGAAAGAGGACTTCCAGAACTACTTCAGAAAGTGACAAGAAAGATGGGTTAAGTGTGTTCAAAATGTTTGTGTGGGCATATTTTGAGGGAAATCAAGGGCAATGTGCCTTTTACTGTGATAAATATGTCTACTTCAGCATTCATTGTATTTTTGGATCACCTGTTGACACATGAGAAACACCCCATCATTTTCATAGTGCAGAATAATGTCCAGGTCTACAGTGCCTCGGCGGCTGGGGCTGCTCTGAGATTGACTCTGGCTGCTTCTGTGTAGCACTGACTTTCTAGGTGGGGGTGGGGAGCAGGCCCTCATCAACCTAGATGTCCAGAGGAGGAGGGCTGGCTTGGTATTTTTATGTTTATCAGAAGGGGCATGGGAGTTTTCAAATCTTTTTAAAAGCATCAGAATCATCCATCCCTCTTGGCTTCTCCTTTGCATCTAAAGCACCCTAGGTGTGCGCAGGCCAGCTGCCTGCCCTCTGTCCTGCCTGTCCTCACAGGCACCTGCCCCCTTCTGCCTCAGAACTCCTGTCTGCAGTGATCACTCTGCCCACTGCAGGCTCCTCCTCTTCAAACACAGCGCTGCCTGCTGTAAGTAGCTTGCGCTAAGATCTCATACCCGCCTCTTACCTTTGCCTCCCCACCCCCGCACCCACCATGCATTTGGTTCTCATTCTCAAATGCATCATTGGAGTCACTCAGTCCATTTCACTTCCACACCTCCAAGTTCCCTACAGTCTACTCCCGGCAGGACTTTGCCTCCAGCACCCTATTGAAGCTGCTCCTGTCGAGGTCACCAGCGCTGTCCTTCAGTGGTCATTTGTCTGCCTCCATGCCCTTGGTGACAGTGACAGACCTGAGCAGCCCTGCAGAAAGCACAGTCCTCCTCAGGGCCCTCCTGTCACCAGATCCTGCCCCTTGCTGCAACTGCTCCCAGGCAGCCTCCTCTCTCCCTTCTTCTCTGTCCACCTCTCAGCGCTGGGATGGCGCTTGATTCTCGGGTCTGCCCTTTCTCTGTCCTGTGGCTCCTTGTCTCCTGCACTAGCTCACTTACTGCAGTGACTGCACACAGATTGCACCTAAATATTTATTTATTTCCAGTTTTATCTTTACCTCTGAGCTGCAGACTTGCCTCTCTGACGTCTCTACTTGGGCTCCACCTGACTATCTAAGATGACAGTAAACTCACAATGCACAAATGGTTGCTGTTCCCAAACCTATTCTTTCATATACCCTTTCCATCTCAGAAAATCGTACTGTCGCCTTTCCAACTCAACACTTATCCTCACGGGGCTGGGATGTAGCTCAGCGATGCAGTGTCTGCCCAGCAAACACAGGGGCCTGGATTCAATTCCCAGTACCAAAAAAGAAGAAAAGGGGAAAAAAAGACCCCACCCAAAGAAACTCTTAAAAATACTTATGCTCATACAACAGAGTCAAGAATAAATTTCAGGTAGGTGTGTTTGTGTGTGTATGGGTTGAATCACAGCATCAGGTGCATGTATTATTTTTAGTAAGGGTGAAGGTAAGAAGGCTCAAGAGCCCACATCCTGTGACTCTGCCCTGCTTAGGGTGGAGCCCTGTTCTACAACCTACAGAGGGCTGTAGTCCATGTGGGCTACAACGGGTATCACATACACTGGGCACCCAACATTTGTAGGCTTAAGGTTACATATAAAGACCCAAATACTATGTGTTTATTAAAACTATAGAGTTATCAATCAAAGTAATCAACTCCTGGATAAATATCTTACATTCCCCTGTCCTGCCTAAGTCACATGTTCCTCAAATATCCACTTTAAAGTGTGGCTCCACAAGGGAAAAATTGCCTTGTTTCCTGCCCCAGCCTCTTGCTCATATCTCTTCTCTTTTCATCCCCTCTTCCTGCCCAGAACACAGGTCTTGGGATATACACAGATAGCAGACCCTCCAGCCTGCAGGTACAGGCTCCCCATCTCTGACTTGCTTCCCCAGTAGCCACTTCCTTAGGGGTCACGATAGAAGCTTGCACTGTCCCTGAAAGGGGACCAAAGCCATCTGCACAGGGAATTCCAGTTCTAGAAGAGAGGCATTGGTGTGGCGCATTGAGCCAGGCTGCTCCTTCCCTGTAGGACTGGGCATAGACAGGGATGGGCCCAGGGCAGGGACCTCTCCTGCCCAGCTGGAATGGCTGTGCTGGCATAGCAGACTAAGTTAACCCTTAGGTGCCCTTATACCTGTAGATCTTCTACTTCTACCCAAACCCTCTTCCATCTCAGACTTAAGTTTAGTGAACCATGTACTGGGCACACATATGTCCCATTACCTCTTAGAGCACCTGACATTGCATGAAAGTCTATTCCTTTGGGCTTTTAAGACTTTTCATCTTCAGAGCAACAAGCATTTGAGTTTCTTCCATATTCAAGACATCACAAAGAAATTAAATATGACCAGGAAAGCTTTTTGACCTTAAGGACCATATCCTTTAATAAACCCAATAAGATAAACACACACAGGGCTGTACTATCAGTGGGACTGGCGACAAGAGTTCAGAAAAGGTGGCTTAGGAAAATCTATGGGAATGACGTGGAGTTTGAGACAGCCTTTGAGGAACACATGAAGGAGGAAGGTGAACGGATGGATGTTCCTGGCAGAAAGAACAGCTTGAACAAGGGCACGGTGGCAGGAATGTGCAGCATGTGTTCAAGGAGGAGCCCTGTTTGCCAGGAGTAAGTGCAGGGAGTGTGGTGAGCTCCGAGTGTGAAGAGGAGTGTATGTTTGACTCAGTAGGCAGTAGGAGCCATTATGGTTTGAGAAGGGGCAAAGTTTTATGATGAGAGTCAAGCTGTAGGGAGATTATCTGGAATTCATGCAGACTGAGTTGGATGAAGTGGGAAAGAGAGTTGAGAGATGATTGTGTGTTTTTTCCTTGCCTTTTCCTGTTACCACCCTAATAGAGAGAGACTGCTATTGCTTCTCATCCTAAATGTGGATCTAGCAGCTACATGGATTGGCCTTTGATCAGACCAAAGTCTGGGTGGGGTGAAGAGAAGAGGTGGTGAAAAACCATGCAGGCACTTTGTGGCAGATGTTCAAGATGCCGGAGACGGCTGGAATAGCTGGTTTAGCGGGTGGGATGAGTTTGAGATAAGGCATTAGGCACACTGCATTTCAGAGCTTGCTGTGACATTGAAGTAGGGGTGTACAGGAGATAGTTGTGAATTGAGATATGGGGCTCAGGAAATAGATTGGGGTGTCGAATGGATTAGGAAATCTTCACTTGGAATTGAAAGTCAGAAATTTAAGAGTGAAAGAGAGCTAAAGAAAGAAAAGGTAGAAGCAAGAAGAAAGAACAGCTTCAAGACCCCGTAGTAATAGACAAGCATGCCTAGGAGAGGGACCACGTTCGGCCTTTACGCATTAACACAGATGCGAGCAGAAGTGAGTGGAGTGGAAAGGGAGCACTAGCAGGGGGTGAGAGGTCCTCCAACACCTCACACGGTGTCTGTCCTTGTCACGCCCGAGGCACTAGCTGCAGCTAAATCTGCCCAGAAACATCAAAGCTGGAGATGCCTGACAGTGACTACCCTGGCCAATTCAGGCCTCCTGAGAAGTCTGAGGTGCTTCTCCAGTGGCACTTACCTGGCAGGAAGCAAAGCGACCAAAGCCAGAGGTTCATGTTTCCTTCCAGAGCAAGATCCCGTCCAGAAGCCCCTGGTGGGGGTCAGACACCCAGTGCTCACCTAGGAGCCCTTCACAATCAGGACCTTGAAAGAGATTCTGGCCCCCTTGAGGGACAAAGGCCTCAAAATGAGGAAATGATAACCTGTCTTGTTTGCTAACTAGTCTTAGTCTAAAAAAGAAAACATCAGCAAACCACAGGGGAAATCGGTTGAAAAAACATATTGTGTTGCACAAGAACGGGTCACCAGGGCTCGAAGGCCCCCAGGCAACCTCCGCCCCTGATATTTCCTTCCTTGGCCCTTGTTCTCGGGGGGCCTCTGGGGATATGTGCGTAGTAGTGGACTCCTGAGCTAGAGTCACTTACTTTATTCTTGCCTTCAGAGCAAAGAATCTCCTCACTTCTTTACCTCATTTGATGAAGGGGGTGTGGACAGAGCTTGGACTGTAGTCCTTATCAGTCACCATTAACCGCTTGACAAATCCTTTTGAGTACCTTCTATATGGAGGTGCTAATCACAGATTATGGGAATTCACTGCCTTCCTCAGGGCTTTGGTTTACAGTGGACCCTTGAGTTGCCCCTGGCCTGACATAGGAGCAACTTGGGTTATGATCGGAATTTTAGTTTTACCCTGTGACCAAAGACTTGAGTTATGACCCAGATGCTGACTGCTTGTGCTTCCAGGTGGTCTCAGGCAGATTTGACCCTTAAAGAGCTCTGGGAGGAACATTACAGCATCCTTTCCTTTATGGGATTAGTTGAGAAATCCTGGGCCAGTGTCTCTCTAAGGACGCTGAGATCTGCCTGGATACAGGAGAGAGACCCTGAAGGCTGTGTAGAGGAACCTGGGCTTTCAGTGGACAACTTGAGTTACAACCAGCGCTTGGAATGACGTGAGTTCCTAAGTTAAGGGTCCACTCTATTTAGAAATTTTTTTTATTTTAAAGAGAATGATCAAAAAGAACAATAGTAAAATACCAACAACATAGACAAAAACAAAACAAAGCAAAAACAACAAAAATAATACAGAGTTTCAGAACAAAATGATAGGAATTAATAGTGGTTTTTATATCACATAGTCATCTTCAACGAAGTTGCTTAGTTTATCAGATGCAAGAATGCAAGATTGATCAAACCATTAAAGAGAATAAAAAATAAAAACAGAAAAACCCCATTAGAAATGATACAGAGTTTCACTTGACAACATGGTAGGAATTCACCAGTGGCTGTCTATTTAGAAATTAAATGAAGGCACGACAAGGTGACCACTGGCCTTCCCTCCTGCAGAGCGTCATTCCCGGGGTCCTTCTGACAGTTCATCCGGTGCCTCGACCACTCCTCATCACCCAGCTCCCCCAACTACCGCAATAAGGTGTTGCCCTCTGGCACTGTCCAGTGGCCACAGGGGCAATACCAGCAGTAGAGTGGGACCAGTCATACAGCAAGGTCTGCTTGACCTCACAGTAGTCTGGCAGAGCTATCCTTCAGGACCTCAAGGGCCCAAGGGTGAGGCCCATTGGTGGAGGACAAGAGATGCTAAGGCTGTGAGGCATCATGGATAGACCTTGGATTCAGGTTAGAAGGCTCAAGTCCTTGTCTTGGCACTTTCTAGCTTCATGCAAGCTTGCTTGGGCCATAGTTTTCCCACTGATAAAACAGGGACAGTCCCTAAGCTGGCTATCTTACCCATCTTTTATGACGCCCAGCAGAATCACAGATGTGGAAGTGCTTTACAAGCCCCATAAACTGACACATTCAGGGCTCTTCCTTGGCAGAGGATTCCCAGGGCTTCCTCCCTGGCTGTTTCATTTTGGTCACCGGTTCTCAGGGCCTCGTTTCCAGGTGCTGTTGCCTCTTGTGCCCACGGAGGACATGGGCCATTCCACACCCCAGGGAGGGATGGCCACCAGAGCTTTCAGGCTGCTCAGTGGTTGTGTGTACCCCACTTCCCTTTTCCCCCACACACCAGATTTGTCACACACTCTCCAAAACACAGAACAACTTCCGCAGTGGAGGTCAAGTGTGAGGCTCAGAGCAGGTGCAGAGGAAGCGTTTGTGGGAGCAGCTGCCCACTCTACCCTCCCCATATGGGCCTGTGCCTGCTCAGAGCAGCTGTCTGCATGATGTCCTCCAACCAGCAAATGAGCTGCTCAGCCTCCGATTAGAGTGACTGTGGAGGCTTCAGCTGGCATCCACACCCTCCCTCCTTACTGAGATGCTCCTTGCCCTGAGGCTGTTCCATAGCTGGACTCTGCCATCCAGCTGCTGGAGGGTGGTGGGACTGCCCTGCAGACCCAGGCAGACAGAGGGAATATGAATGGGCGAATGTGCTGTGCAGAACTGGGTGTGGGTGTGAGAGTGTGAGGTAGTGTGGGCGTGTGCAGTGTGTGATTTGTGAGTGTGTGGCATCTCATGTGACCTATGAACCTGAACTGTGTGGTACACAATGTGTGGCCACGAGTGTGTGCATCTGCAACGTGTATTTTGTAGTGTATCTGTGAAGTGTGGAGTGTGATGCATATACGTGCATGCTGTGATGCGACGCATGAGTGTGTGATGTGTGCACGTGTCTATGAAGATCAGGCTGCAGTGGGTTGCTTGGTGGCTGGGGCCTGCCAGGCACCGCTGCGTATGTGCGGACGAGAAGGGGCAGGAGAGTTTTATATGTGCTGCCCAAACAAAACCCCTAGAGAATTATTCAGGGCTAAGACCAGGAATAAGAGGTGTGACTGCCAGCAGGTAGGAGGTGACACAAGCTATTGGAGCTCCCAGACCTGGGCCTGTCCAGTCTACATGAGGCGCTGCCCCAGGGTCTTAACTTGCCCTTGGCTAAATTGTACTGTTGGTCCCTTGTCTTTTTTTCCTTGTGTGAACATGACCTCCTGGCTACTTCTGGGCTGCTGTGTTCCCCTGCTGCTCCTCCTCCCAGAAGCTGGCTAGGTTGTAGCACACAGGGGACGGGGGAGTCAGTGGCTCACACCCTCTGGGGGGCAGAAGGGAGGAGCCTGATGGAAAACTTTCAGAGCCCCAGGACAAGCAGGTGGAGGGAATAAATCATACCCACTGCACCTGGAGGTATTCAGATCCTGTAAGAAAATCTACTTATCCTCCATGAGTTCTTAACCTAGGCTTTGCTGTCTCCTTCATCACAGCATTTCTTCTAAGGTGGCTGGGGTGGGGAGGTGGGTGACTTGAGGCAAGCCTTGTGAGGGCTCGGCATGCGGTCTGGATGTAGGAAGAGTGAGCGGAGACTTGTCGTGGTGGAGGTGATTATCATGATTCTGCTTGGGGACTGCATTATTCTCTCCTGCCCCGCCCCCACCCTCCAGCCAGATCATCTCTTTGCCTTCTCTAAACGGATGGCCTCCTCCCCATGTCTCAGTGCTCCTCTCTGCAGTGACTGACTATAACAATCCTCCTGCCTAGTGGACTCTCCAGGGAGTCCCTCCCCGCCAAGCAGCGGCACCTGGCCCAGGCATCCTGCACTTCTCCTTCCAGGAATGTGGGCCACAGTCTCACCAGTCCCAGAGCCTGGGAATAGGGACAGTGCCCTGCAGCTGGTAGAGATGGACGGAAGCTTTAGTGCCAGCAAAGGCAGGCTTGAGGAGTGTCTCACATCCAAAATCCAGGTAGAGGGCAAGGTTCACATGAGGGCGTATGCAGGACTGAGGACTTCTCTGTACAGAACTCTCCACCACCGAGGCCATGAGGAAGACACTCGGTGTTAGAAAGGGGAGCCAGCTGCCAATGGACAATTTGGATCTTCCTTATAGGACACCACATAGTGCTAGTACCTAGGGGTGACCTAAATAGGCCAGGGTCTTTATATAATCACTACACCCTAACAAAGGCCCCGGGTCAACTACTGTACATCATAAGTTGTCATTTAACTAGCTTGTACAGTTTTGATCAGAAGCATCTTGATCTTGGAGGGCATACGCGATTCAAAGTTAAGTATCCCTTGGGTGCTTTACTAAGATTTTTCTTCCAGCACCTATGAGGTTCTGCTTGCTTTCAGTTTATTGTACTAAAATCTTGATTATGTTCTATAATATATGGTCTTAACTATTGGAGTAAACATAAAACAATTCTTTTATTGAAGATGATCTTGGTTCCACTTTTAGCCACTTTCCTATCCCCTTCCACTCAGCCTTGGAGGTTGGGGAGCCTGTTGCTTTAGATGGATGTCACAGGGTGCCGAAAAGTGGGACCAAGGCAAAGTGCTCTGAGACAGTTTTCTGGGAAAACACAGGTATGGGCGACAAATGCAGTCTGAGCCTTGTTGGTGACAATCATGGGCTTTAATTATCAGTAACATTTCTGATTTGTTAGCAAGTGCCAGGTCGTAGATGCTGGGTGAAGTACTGAGCTGAGAGGGAAAAAGACTTGCATCTTTAACTTTTGGGAGATCAGCTCCTCCCAGGTTTGGTTAAACACCTCTTCCTCCTCTCCACTTGGAAGGAACGCTTCCAGCTACATTTGACCATTCCTTCATCCCAGATCCATGTGAGTGATGGGAAGGGAAAAGGCTGTCTTTCCTGGGTTAGAGCCTGGGAAAGATCTGTCTCCATGTACAGTTTTTTTCTTCCTCCTTATTCTAAAACTGCCTCCCACAGGGAGCAGGGGTCTCATAGAAAGGTCAGTGGTCAAGAAGGTTGGAGTGCCACATCTGGTTTGAGAGTGGTCACTGGGTACCCCAAGGATCCCTCTCAGGACCCCTCTGTTTTTATCCATGCAGTGCTAAGAGTGTGTATTTGTGAAGGCTGTGTGTATGCCCTAGGCCCCTGGCACTTTATGATGTCACCCAGCAAGGGCAGAGGTGAGATGTCACGTGTTAGTGAGCAGACAGGCACAGAGAGGAGCATAGGCCTTGTCCAGGAATATTTATGGCCTTTCAGCCAGGAGTTGTGTATAAGCACACCTATCCCAGTGTCTAGCAGGGCACCTGGATTATAGTAAGATTCACATATGTCTTTGGAGTGAAGGAAAGAAGAACAGAGGAAGGAGGGAGGCAGAGATGGAGTGGAAGGAGAAATCTTGTTGACATCTCACCCTTAGGGTACAGAGAGGCTCCAAGTGGCTCTTTCCTGAGATGAGCTCCAAGCTTGTCTCTCTGCTTTCAGGATGTCCCCTCCAATACCTGAATCCTTCCCCAGTTCCTTAGTTTCTCTCAAAAGAAAGAAGCTGCAGGTGGGAGCTCCTTATACCCCTCACCTTAGCAGGAGCAATTAGGGCAGGCATTAATGTCACCATTAAAGGTGAAGGTAGAGCAGTGCACCTCTGAGGACAGAGAGAAAAGCCCAGGTGGGGGTGAGTGCAGGCAGTGGAGACCCCTGAAGTGGGGGCCCAAAGATCAACATGATTCTGAAGGTGATTGTCATGGGAGTGACAGGTGACCGGCACTGCTCAGGCATCCTTGGGCCCATCCTGGGCCTGGGCAGCAATGTTGCTGGACTGGAGCAGGAAGGCCGAGTAGGCCATGTCAGCTTCCTCCTTGGATGACTGAGGGGCAACAGCAGAGACATCAGTGAGTCAGGGTTGGGAGGGGACAGCTCCGTATCCTGGATTTGCCATCTTGGCCTGAGCAAGGCCAGCCTGTGTGACTGCTGTCCTCACTCCCACTCTCGTGCTCATCAGGAGGACTAATCATGAGAAATGGAAAGTTGAAGCCTCTAAAAATACCTCCCTTTGTCTCACTACCTCCTTCTGACACATGGGGCAGAACCACCTCCGTGGCCTGGGGTTGTCCCCGGAAGTGGGGCAACATAGTCCACATGCAAGGGGCCTAGACAGGCATCAGCCAGAGGGCTGTAGTTTTCTTTCTCCACCAGCTTGGAGAGGTCACTTTCTAGCACACCTAGGCTGGTGGGAGAGCCTGACTCCAGGACCAATTATATCCTCTAATATTTGGCCCCTGTGTTGTGAGGAAAGCAGATGTGACCCAAAGCCTCTGTGCCTCTGGGTCAGAGGCAAGGTGGCATCCTTCCAGGGGGCCTTCAAGAGGCACGAGGGGAGGATACCATGAACCCTAAGGCAGGTGTTGCCTCTGTGGACTCAGGCACCACCACTTGGGTGGAGCGGGCAGATGTTTCCAGTGACTATCAAGTTGCCCACCATGAGTAAATGTCTTCTCAGTCCAGCCAAGCACTCCAGGGAGGATGGGTGACCAACCCCTGGGAAGTCTCTGGGTCCCACAGCCCTGGAAGAGCATCCATCTAGTCCCCAGGGAGGTACATGATCTCCCTACCTGTGACCGCATCTTTCTCAGCTCCTGGTTTCCCTCCCTTCTCCAAGCACAGCTCCCCTCCTTCCTCAGCCTCATCCACATCAACCAGGAAGGAGCATCCCTCCTTCAGAAAGATCTCCTGGTTTCTATTTCTGCCATCCTCCCTGTTCTGGGGTCAGCCCTCACATGGAGGTGATTTGTCCCAATGTCTGACAGAAGTTCCCCATGCTGCATTCTGTCATACAGCCAGGCCTCCTCTCCCTCCTCCCCCTTACCCTTTTGGCCTTCCTGGGCTCCTCAGCATCCATGGTGCTCTCAGTGTTAGCCATGACCTCTGCATGGAGAGAGTGGTTAGTTCCTGCCCACCCTGTTCTCACATGAGGTACAGGATCAGAACCAATCCTCACTGCCCAGGCATCAAACATACCGACTTTCCCTTCAAGCACTGTCTCCTGAGTGACTGGAGAGGCTCCCATGTTGTCATTGCCACCATAATCCCTGGAGTTCTCGAAGTCTGACATGCTGATGTCTGTCCGGTAGCTTCTAATGGATAGACGATCTGTTGGGGAGAAAGAAGAATTGGTGTGGAAAAGGGGCTGGGCAGAGGAGACCTGGGGACCCATCCTCTCCGAGCAGGTTCCTCGCAGCCTACAGGACAGTGGAGGGCTTGGGATCCTCTCACAGCCACTTCTGACTCTGACCCAAAGCTGAATGGAAAGGGTCTCAATCCCTTCTCATGGGTAATCAAGACTGGATCCGCGACCTCTGTGACTCTCAATGCACAGCGCCCAATTTGGCCTCAGGCCAACCTTGTGGGATGCTTATTACCATCCTGCCTGGAACTACGAGAGAATGGGGGAATGAAACGGGGACATGCCAGAGTCACGCATTATATTAGTGATCCAGGAGGTCAAAGCCCAGGTCTCTCTGGCATCCTGGCCTCCTAGCAGCCTTGCATCTGAACTTAGACCCCAAGCAATGGGAGATAGCCCCCTTCCAGGGGCAGTGTCTGGACAGCAGCACTTAGTTAATTTGGGAGAGTATGGGGTGCATCTCCCAACCCCTACTCCCCAACCTCTGCTTCCTCAGAATCCTCTGTGTGTGCCTACAGAAAGAAGGAGATTGTGTAGCCTCCTCTCTGGGCATCTGTGTTGGGGCTGAGGGCTGAGGGCTGGAGCAGGCGTGGGGAACATTTGGGGACTCACCCACGTTCTTCCGGTGCCGGGCTCTGGCCACCCACACAGCCACAGTCCCCAGTGCCAGCACAAGGCCCAGGGGCACCAGAGTGGACAGCAGGACTTTGGAGCTCCCACTTTGTCCCTCAGAGCTGAAAGAAGGATTACGAGTCCATCACAGGGCAGGGGACTTGAGGGCTTCAGCTTGCACTGGGAAATTGGCTCCAGCTAGTGGTCCTCCCTGGTTTATCTTCTTACCTTTCTGGCAGAGCACCCCGCTCTGTTCTAAGAAGTCTTTCCAGGCCCAGGAAGACCAGAACAGGGCTGTCTCTGCATGCCAGCCCTGAGAGATGGAGCTGAAGTGCCAACCCTACCCCAGCCATGGGAGAAGGACTGAGGGTACCAGGGACCCCCAGTGCACAAGCAGAGGTAGTGATGGCTGCCCCCACTTGATGCGGGCAGGCTCTGCTCTTTGCACCTAGTGGTCCTTGGCCTCTGTGGTGTTCTCTGAGTGAAAGCCCTGGATCTCTCCTCACCTGCTGGTGTCTACAGACGCTCTACTTCCACTGGCTTGGTTTCCTGTATCCTCCACCACTCTTTCCTCTGCAAAAAGCCTGGGGTTCAGAACAGCATTGTTCTCAACCTCCCTGCCACGGGGCTGCACCACCTCCTCCTCAGGAGCACTGTTTGCAGTCGGTGGGTTGACAGCATCGGACCCTGGAGCAGAGTAGAGCAAGGGCTGAGTTAGGATTTTATCTCCCTGTTCTTACTTTTGAAGTTAGGAGATCTGACAGTGAGACTTTGTCGGACATCACAGGCCCGGGTGGGAGGTCGAGGCTGTTGGGGTGGTTCCACGATGACACTGGACACACAGGAGCCTCGACATTCTCTAGCTCGTCACAGATGATCTCCGTCCCAGTGCTACCGAGTTTGCTTCCTTGTTCAAGGCTGGGTGCAGTAGATCCAGCTGTGCAGAGAGGCGACTCCAATATGAGGGGCAGAGACTGAACCTCTATCCCGGTCAGATCTGCTGGCCTGAGCGGGATGCTGCTGCCACCCGGTGGTAGCTGGGCACAACCCCTCAGTGGGCCAGAACAGATGGACCTGGACACCATCCAGACTTCTCAGAGGACTGAAAACACCCTAAGAGATTTTATGTGGCCTCATAAAAAGTGGTTGTAAATGCAAATTAAAGTTGCCTTAATTTTTTCTTTTCAGTGCTGCTAGGGCTGCACATATGCTGAGCACATGCTTTAGCCCTGAGCTACATCTCCAGCTCCATACCTTCATTTTTTGGATCAGACCTTGTGAATAAGGTATCTGGTCCTCCTCTGAGAGCAGTTTTGGGTAGAGGGAGGGAGAGTGACTGTGCATAGAATAATGTCTACACATAAAAGCAGATTTCTAGGTATAGAATGGATTTCCCTCTGGTTTGAAGGGGTGATGATGGGACTTGTCTTAATGGTGTGGTTAATTAGCAGACCCACCAGTTTGACCTCATTTGCATGCGTGAGAGACACCTTCACTCCCTCACGCCCTCCTTCCACCCACACTTCTTACAGCCAAACCTAGGGACCACCCCGGACTGAGAAGTGGTTAAGCAAGGGCCTCTGAAGGGTGCTGCAGGATTTGGGATTTGGAGACTCACCTTTTGCCTTCTCCTCGACTGCCACATAGACAGCTGCAGTCTCTCCAAAGCTCCGGTCCTGTTTCATGCCACACCAGTACCAGCCCTCGTCCTCCTTGGTGACAGACTGCAGGGTCATGGAGATGAGCTGGGTGCTCTGGCAGCTCACAGAGGCCTGGCTGGGACCTTCATCTTGGCTGGGCAGGGCCTGGCATCCCTGGTTGCTCCACTTACACCAAAATTTCTCATAGGAGTAGTATTTGCACGGGAAGTGGCAGTGGAGTTTGAGGGGCTCTCCTAAAACAGCGGTTTTATTCTTTGGTACCTTGAGGCTGGGTTCTCCTGCAGTGAGAAGGGAGAAAGAAACAGATCAAAAAGTGGCCCGTGGAGACGCTGCAGGAAGGGGATGTGGGGGTAACCTCTTGTGCATTTCCTCTTCAGATAGCTTTGTAAGTAAATGCACTATGCTGATGCACACGAAATGGAATAATGTGCGAGGGTACTCATGACTGTTGGTGTGCACGGTGATCAGCGTCTCTCAGAGAACATAGACTCTGGCTGATTGACTGCAGTGTGCTTTCCTTACTCTTCCTTGTCATCTAGATCCAACCCCACGGCCATCTCCAATACTCCAGGTGATCCCTGCTCACAGCAAGGGAGGTGACTGGTCTGCTATTAGGAGGTGCTACATGCGGAAGTGCATGGTGGGCTTGTCACAGGTGTGAAAATGTGACCGCTAAGCAGGGTAGGGTTTCTATTAGGGACCATCCCGCTCTGTACATCACCATGGATGTAGGTGAGATAGGTGGAGGAGAGGCTGAGGCAAAACTGCTGCTGTGGGAGTGGTCTTGGAACTTCCACCTTTCCCCCTTGCCCAGTTTGGCTCCTACCATCAGCAACCTTGATCTCCACCATGGTCCTCCAGCGAGTATCGTCATTCGTGAGACACCAGTAGAAGCCTGCATCCTGGGTGGTGAGCTGGTTGAGGATGACCGTGTAGAAGCCATCACCTGGCTCCTCGTAGAGAGCCAGCCTGCCCTCGTACTCCTCCTGAACCTTCCCCTGGCTCTCCACCAGCAGTGGGCAGCGGCCGCTTTGCTCCCCTTCCCAGCGACACCAGTACTTGAAGCTGTTGCTGTCCTTGGGGTCATAGGGGCAGAGCACAGCCACAGAGCCTCCTGTCACCCCCTTCACAACCGTGCGCGTGCGGGGAATTATAGTCTCTGGAAGGCAGACAGAGATGGCATGAGAGGAACGCAAGGCAGGGAGAGCCTTGCATGGCCCAAGCAGCTTCCCCCCATGGTCTCAGCCAGTGTGGAAGAAGAAATGTAGACAGAACAGCTCACCCTGCACAGAAAATGAGAAACTTTCCCTGAGTCACACAGCCTTCTGCTGGAGCCACCAGGAGCGGACTCCAGTACCCTTTGCCACCAGTGTACATCTCATTCTTTTCCTCCACCTTGTTCTGAGCAGAGAGAATTCTCCAATGTAGGGAGAGAATAGCAGCCCTTTCCTTTGGTGTCTTACGAAATGTGTGTGTGTGTGTGTGTGTGTGTGTGTGTGTGTGTGTATGTGTGTGTATGTGTGTGTGTTAGCTTATCCTACAAAAAGGTCCAGTGGATCATTTACACATTAATAAAATGCACTTAAAGTGGGTATGATTTAACACATAGATAGTGCAGACAGTTTTAATGACCAAAGACCCTGAGAAGTATCTCAAAGAGAAGGACAGCCATGCTCTAAGCAGCTAATGCTGCGGTCCAGAGAGAACCCTACATGGCTGAAGATGGGAAGGGATGTGGTAAAGATCTGGAGCTGGACATGGACAGGGTGCATTGGGAGCACAGACCCCTAAAGTGAAGTTTCAAGCACAGATGCTTTGAACTACAAAGGTTTCCTGCTTCTCATGAGGGTAGCTATGCAGAGTGCACCAGGGTGAGAAGGAGCAGGTTTTCAGTTATTTTACTATGTCGATGCTTCTCTGAAGTGTAGCTGAGTGAGTCAGCTCATGCTAACTAATAAGTAACCTAAAGAGATGTGGGAATGGAAAATTTGAGGCTGGGACTTCAACTTTCTAGGAAGTTTAGAGACTAATCTAAGTGTGAAGGATATGGCATCCACCTCACTCAGGGCTCAGGGCTCAGGGCTCAGGGCTCAGGGCTCAGGGCTCAGGGCTCAGGGCTCAGGGCTCAGGGCTCTGGGCTCAGGGCTCTGGGCTCTGGGTTTTGGGCTCTGGGCTCAGGGGACAGGGTCTACAAAGGCATAGAATCCCAGACAGTATACAAGTCTTGCCTTAGGAACTCAGCTCTCCTTGTTCATATTAACCAAGGATGGTCATCAAAAGTCCATGGTAACAGAGAAGAGCAGTAGGGACCTAGCACAAGGCAGAGGCTGTGCTGCTGACCACTAGCATCCAGTTCAGGGTTCCTTGGGAAGGGCCTGCTGTTGCCTGGTGGGTGAGTACGGATGCATAGATTCAGGGAGCATAGCCTCCCACCAGCCAGACTGCCCCACCCCTTCTCCCTGCCTGCAGGGTCTCACCCGGGTTTACAAAGAGCTGCCAGGCCTGGAGGGGCCAGCCTTGCTGGGGCTCTCCGTCTGAGTGGGCTCCGCACAGGTATTCTCCCGCGTCCTCCGTCTGCAGGCCTGTGAGCAGCACACTGAAGCGGCCGTTGTCTGGATCCTTGGGGCTGAGCAGGATCCTGCCCTCAAAGGCCGGGTCCCTCTTCCCCAAGGTGTTGATGATCACATCACAGGGTTTATTCTTGTTCACCCGGCACAGAAATTTTGGCAATTTCGCCACCTCAGGGCCCAAGGCACAGTCAAAGGTCACTGATCCCCTCAGCTGTCCATAAACCAGCTCAGGCTCAGGCTCTAGCACCTGGAGGTCAACATTCCTTTGGTCACTGCTAGGATCTTCCCCAGCTTGGCAGACATACATCCCTGCGTCGTCAGTTCTGAGCTGATTGATGATGACGGTGAACGTGTCTTGGCTGGTGCCCTGAATAACTAAGCGTACTCTGCCTTGAAAGCTGGGGCTGATGTCTCCATTCGAGTTGATGACTAACTCGCAGGACTGATCTGTCTTCTTGCACAAGGACTTCTTCTTAGCAGCATTCTTATCACTGAAAGGGCATTTGATGGTCACTGTTCTGCCCATGTCCATGGTGTAGACGTCAGTGTTATTCAGGAGCCGAGGATCTGCAGGATGAGAGCATGGGAGAGCTGTGATTGCCCTGTCTTCTAGTGAAATCAAAGACTCTTTGTTGTTTCCACTGAGTGGCCGGACAGGGCTACCACCTGGAATGCCTCATTGACGAGGGGGATGCTGTTGGAGGATGTTTGTTGATGCTCAGAAAATGGTAAAGTGAAGGCCTTGGAAGGCCTTAAAAGCAGCCTCAGAAACAAAGCTTCTCTCTGACTTCTACCTTCCTTTCTTACTCCTTATTTTCCCCAAAGCCATAGAAAGTAGAATTCCTTTTCCCCTTTTCCCCAAGGCCAGCCATAGGAACTAGGACTCCAAAGCTACTCATACCCCAGAGCATACCATCTAAAAACATTACTGTAATCTGCCCCTATCTTTCTGTGTAAGAGCTGGCCGTAAGAGGCTTCTCTGACCCACACTGTGTGTAATAAGACCCTCGATCCCAAGGCATCCTGCCACACACCTGGAGGAAGGAATGCTACCACTGAGGGGCCAACAGGAATCTGAACAGACAGCCCTTCTGGCTTCCTGGTGGCTCACTGCTAATAGCCCATGCCATTTTGTCTTATCACGTTCTTTGTGGCCATTCCTGCCTCCTGGAACCTAAGCGCGCAATCAGGTGGCTTCCTCTGGGTCTTTGGAGCATCACTCTGAAGGCTTTGTCCATGTGAAGCTTTGATGGAATGCATTTGTTACGCATTTTCTCTCTAACCTGACTCTTGTTATATGGGCGGTGGTTGTGACCCTGAGGATGGGTGAGGGCAGGAATCACCCCTTTCCTCTGCTCCACCTCCCAGGTCCAGCTTGACTGCCGATTCTTCCATGAAGCTTTCCTCAAGCTACACTAGTCTCTCCCTCCTTTGTGCCCTTCCTCCTCACTTTGCATCACTCACTACCTTCAGTCTAGGGTAGTTAATCTGATCTCTCTGGACTAAAGGGAAGAGATACATTTTCCTCCTGTTTAACCTTCTTGCTGTAGTCAGCATGATGCGGAGGCCTAAACTCACATATGTGAAATGAACAGGATGAATGGAAGCACGGGGCGGTGGGTTTCAGTGCATTGCAATAAAAAATTACAAGAGTCCAAACTTGGAATGGGCTGTCCTTTAAAGCAGTGGGTTAGTGCTTTTGAAAGTGTCTAACCAGAGCAGTGTGCCATAATCACTGTTCTCTAGGCATGCAGATAGAGTGAACTCTGAGTGCTCCTCGGCTTATAAGGGTCTGTGGGATATGAGCCTCCACCATCATCAGAACGTTAACTGTTTAGTGTACAGGTAACAGTACACTTATCTCTGAGGAACAGGACATGTTTTTGAGAGTTCCTTCCGTTTCCTCCCTTTAGATTTCTAAGTGGCCCGTGACTATCCAAACTGCCCTGGTTGTTGAACCCCTGTCAGAAAGAGCCTTTTCTCAATAGAACAGGTTTGCTCAGCGCCCATCTCTTCAGGATTCTGGTTACTGGTCAAGAAATAAGACTGTACTTGATGCTGGTCATTCTGATGGACTCACAGGTTCCATTTTTATTGTTGTCATTTAGTTTTTGCAGTACTGAGAACTGAACCCAATGCCTCACGCTGAGCTACATCCCAGTCCTTTTTTATTTTCAATTTTGAGACATGGTCTCACTAAGTTGCTAAGTTGGCCAGGGTGGGATCAAACTTCTGATCCTCCTGCCTTAGCCTCCCAGATTACTGGTGTGGAGCACCATGCCTGGCTTAATGGATCCCATTTTTTTTTTTTTTTAAAAGGACTTCTGGTGATACAAGGCTTTAATCTCAGGGGTGTATTTGTAGTAGGAATTGAAGGAGCCCTGTAACTCTTTCTGCGACTTTCCCATCTCCTTATGCCGTAGACCTCTTGTCCAACTTCCAACAAGCACATTGAGGAAAGTTGTCCTAATAGACTAGGCTGGGGCCTCTGTGAAGCCCTAAAATGTTACCGACCCAAAAGATTTAGAAAGGTGCTCATCACACCCAGAAAAGACTGTCTCATTCCTGTACCCTATTATGAAAAGTCTTTCCTTGGGAGAAACAGCCTTTTGACCCCAAGCCAGGATGCGGGTCCCATGAGGAACTCTCCCTCCATACAGGCGCCCTCCCCACTGCACCTGACACAACTTCCCCTGACTCCTCCAGAAGCCTGAGGAGCCCGGATGCTTACCCTTGCTGACCTCCAGGCTTACATCAAAGTTCAGGCCTCGGTTGCTGTTGCCCAGGCCACATTTGTAGTGCCCAGAGTCCTCCCGGCTGAGGTGGGCAATGTTCACCATGAAGGCGCCGAGTGCTGGGAAGTTGGTGAGGTTGGATCTGCCCAAGTAGTCCTCGGAGATGTAGCCTCCTGAGGAGATGAGGGTCATGCAGCTGCCCTTGGCTCCCTGCCGACACCAGTACTTCCGAGTGTGCCGGTTGACAGAGGTGGATGGGTAGTAGCACATGATGGACACTGAGCTACCTTCCACAGCGCTCACCTCCTTAGGACCAAATATGGGGCTTTCCGTGGAGACCACTGTGGAGAGAATAGGCACAGGCTTCCTGAGTCTGGGAAGATGCAAATCCTGCTGGAGGAAACCAGACCGCCCACCCTGTGGAGATGCAATTTTCTACCCAACGTGCGTGTACTCTGTGTTTATTTATGAGATACTACAGCTAGACAGTTGCTTAATCAATTAAAAAAAGTGATCCAAAGCTTGCTTAATCATTATTCGATTCTTATCATAATTCATTAATGCTAATTTTTTTAAGGACAACGAATGACAACTATGATATCTTTTGTGTTTTAAAAGAATCCAACACTTTTGTAGAGTGCTATGCTTTTGCATTTGCAACCTGCTAGTTCGTTTTATTTCTAAAATCTCTTTGTAGCTGATTTCTTTTCTCTGGGTAAAAATACTACAAGCCAGGAAGGAGAACTGATTTCCTCCAAATCCATTAGTCACTCATAAAGATGCTTGGTTTGAGATAACTTCTTTTTTACCCCCAGAAAAGATCTGAACCCTTGTCTTGAAATTAGAAATTGACATTCCTGCCCCACCCCCATTTCCAGGGCCTGGTGGTCCATTTTCAGACATGACTTTCCGCATTGAGAGGGATCCTTAGGGATGAGCCTGGTTTTAGTGTCCCCAGGGAACTGGGATCTGGAGGGTATGGGGGGAAGTGGGTAGAGCCCCAGGGAGTTGGGACCTGGTGACATACCTGGGAAGATAGCCAGCAGGAAGATGAGCAAGGAGAGCATCATTGCTGGTGGCTCCCCAGGGGTCTGTGCTACCCAGGCCGACCTCTTGAGTGAGATGCTGAAAGACAATAATCACAGGAGATGAAGATCCCTTGTCTTCTAAGGCTAGTTGAGCTGAGAGATTCTGCAGCACCTCTTTGGCTTTCTATCTCCAGCAACTGGCACAAGTCTTATTAAGGGAATGGATGGATGGACCCTCCTTTCCCCTAACAACTCAGAGCCCTGCCATCTAACTGAGCTTATCATTTCTCCATAGTTATAAGGATATTTTGTTTTCTCGCCAGACAGCATGCTCTTTGGGATAGCAACATCAGCGATGAATCTGTGTCTCTGTCTAGAAGGTACAGTGTTAGGCACACCACAAGACATCAGGAATGGGCTCTCTGGGTGATTGGTTACAGCCAGTAAGTGGCCTCATCCTTCTGTTTCAGCTCCCTGTCCCCACAGCACCCCTGCAGCTGGAAGAGGCTAAAATATTTTTTAGTGTGTTCAGATAAGTAAACTGAGGACAGTAGAGCAGATCTGCTAATTATTAAGGTTATAAATATAATGGCAAATGTCATTGCCATCACTGATTATTTTCTTACCATGCCCGAGACACCGTGTTACATGATTTGTATGTGTTAGCTCATTTAACGTTGATATCAACCCTATAAGTTGGGCTTTCTTATCCACACTTTACCTCCCCGCAAAATGAAAGCTTAAAGGTTATGGACTTTCTTTGATCATCACCAGAGAGAGGCTAGGGGAGGATTTGAACCCCAGTTTTGTCTGACTCCAGAATCTAGGCTTTCCAGATCTCCACTGAATTGACCTCACTGATAGGATGTTTATAACAGGTGCTGACTCTTGTGGTTTGTAGAACCCCATTTTTGACACTATTCATTTGAACTTTTGAATAAGATAGATGTGTACAAGCACAATCATCTCATGGGTAAGAAAACTGAGATCTTGAGATGCTGAATGATGCCCAGGGTCTGAATGATGGCCCACTTATGGGGTCAAAGTTAAAGACGTAGATGCTTTGGTCTTTGTAACCCTGCCTGGTCAGGCCTGGCAGACAAAGATGGACAAGCGAAGGCAGCTTATGTAGACTCTGTCACCACTGTGAACCCAGCGCAGAGCCTGCCTGCAGCTGTCTTCCAAACCAAACTACAGCCTAGGGGAGAAGAGGGGAGCAGACAAGGGCCTCCACTTCTCAGTGACTCCGAGAGACTTTCAACTTTGGAATGGATTGGACAAAGAGTGTGGGGGAAAAAACAACCATAATAAACCTTGGGCAGTAAAGAGCACCCATAAAGATAAAGGAGCTCAGAACAGGAGGGAGCCCAGGGAGTTATCTACCCCCACTGCCTTGGCCCCAACTCCTGTGCCCGGAGACTTCCTTTACCACCTCGAGCCAAAGGCAATAGAGTTGTTTATCTTGGTTATTTCTTTTCCATAGGGGAATTTCCCAGCCAGGAACCCTTTTATTTCCTGGTGCAGATAAAGATATTCTGTTTCCTCCAGTTCTTTGGAAGAGTTAAGGGAGGGGTTAAGGGCAGATATGGATGTCAGGTGGCAACTTGAGGTTTTCTTAAGTGTGGTTAGTTGCCCCAGACCTTGCTGACCAGGCCAAAGATAAACTCCTGGCATGGGACCTCAGGCAAATGCCAGACTGAGCCCCATTTTGGTTGTGCTCAGGGGCCTCTGGCTAGTGGCACGGCTGAATAGGGGGAAGCTCCTAGGCAGGAGCAGCTAAAGCCTGTCTTTTCTGCTCACCTGGGACAGGCTGGCTGCAAAGCTGTGAGGAACCTACACTTGCCATTTGTGCCGTCCTGAGCACAGTCATAGGTGTGAAGGCCAAATGCCATGTGCTTACTTTTAAGCATGAGAACTGGCAGTAATTAGCCTTGATTCTCACTCTGGTTCTCACCTGTAGATGAGCAAGACTCTTAATATGTCCTGGGACTAGAGAGGTTCTTCCTCTGGGCTGAGCGGGGCTCACAGCCTTTCCTGTAGATTGGTAAGGTGAGCGACTCACCTTGTGCTATAGAGGAGTCCTATGTGGGAGTCCTGGCTCTCAGCCCAGGCTCCCTGTCAGCCTGTGAAGTCTGGGTGGTGGGGCACATTCTGTGGAAGGAGGCGTGTGCACCCCTCAGCCTTTGCGCAGTGGTAAACATCAGGGTGAGAGCATCAAGAATGCGCAGCTGGGAGAGCGAACCTGGGAGAAGATGACCCGGCGAGGAAACAGAGTCCAGTGCCAGGGAAGATGGTGGGCAAGCAAGGCACCCATGCCATCAAGAACAGGAGCTCTTCCTTTCCCAGTGGTAAAATTTGAACCGTTCTATGATAGCAGCTAAAAAGACTGCTTTAAAAATCGGTAGAGACCCCTTTATCTCAGGCCAACTTTCTCCCAAACTCAGGAGAGTCAAGTCAGGGAAGCTAGAGTTGTAGGGTGGCTGAAGTTGGATTTAAAGGACTTGCTTACAAGAGGAAAGTGTGAAACACTTATTGGACACCTACTCTGTGCCCTGTGATAATAATAAGCCTGGGGCAGCCCTGGGATCTTCTTTTATCTGACCCACGGTAGATTCTAGTGTCTTCATATTGCAGATGGAAAACTAAGGGCTAGAGGGATGCTTGACCCCAAGACCCATGACAGAATTGGAATTTAAGATCACTATCCTGTTCTTATCCTTCAGTGGGTAAAGGGGTCTGTTCTACTGGGTTACACATATGCTGGTAGGTCATGTTTTAGGACATTTTCTGGTCCTAAAATTAGCAGGTAATTTTTTTTAGGTCATTCTTAGTTAACTGTGTGGGTACCCGATACATTCATACCGTGTGTCCCCATAACTGTGGATTGGAGAAGGAGGGTAGGGTGTGCTGGAGAATAGTTTGACGCCTTATAAAATTAATTTAGTCAATCCCATTCCATGGCAGCGTGTGCTATGACCTGGAGTTTAAACTTTTGCCTATCTCATCTCAGGCGTCCTCTTTCTCAGGCGAGAAGGGTCACCCAGACCTGGGCCCTGGCTGGGCATCTGGAGAGCCACCTATCCTCATAATCTCACAGTGATTTGAGCTCCTGCTCTTCTTTGTGCCAGGAGGGAGTCATCTGGGGTTCTAATAGCCCCGGGGCCGCAGAGCGAACAGATAGACTGGAAGCCAAGCTGTCAACTTCTCACAATGCGTGAGTGTGAACTTGAGGAGCAGGAAGCTCTGGGGTTCAGAGGAGTGAAGACTGGCTGGCCCAGCTCAGAGTGAGGATCTTCTCTGCCTGGATGGAACAGCCCCTTGCCCTGCTTCCCGGAGAGGCCTGCTTGAGTCCACCTGGGACTCTCGCTCTCATCTCCCCTGGGTAGAGGGGTCGAGTGCAGACCAGACAGAGCCTGGCAAGAGCTGCATGAAGAGGAGCTTTGAGGCCAAAGAGAACCCGGGCATCCAGCATCCCGCTCTGCCATGGGGTACAAGTAGAGTTCTAGTACATGGGCAAAATACGCTACCTTAGCTCACTCATCTGTAAAACGGGATAAGATCCCTGACAATTCTTGCTGGAAGGGCTAGTGCCCTTGGGATGGGAGAATGTGAGGGAGGGTAATGGAATAATGTCTATGGAAGCACATTCGATAATATCAAGGGCTCCTCCTGTAAAGAGATGATAGTTAATTCTCGGCACAGGAGGGTGGGGGGGCTCCGCCATCTTGGCTTTCATGAGGATGTGGCACACAGGACCAGCTCCTCTGCTGGGCTGTCAGCTTTGTGATTTGGGGCTATTTGCATTCTGAGCCTCCAGGGCCTTCGTCTGTAGACTGGTGGTAACTGTGTCTTGTTCAAGAGTTGCTTTGAGCATAGACTAATATATGGTCTTTTGCATGTGTAGAATCGATGCCGTCTTCTTTTTTCCTGCCACAGCATGAGTGGAGAGAAGGCTGCTTGCTGAGGGCCGCTTTGAGCCCAGGTGTGAGCTCTGCAGGTCGAGCCATGATGGCGGAGACAGGCAGTGATGAGCACCGCGGATCGGTCAGAAGTGAGTCAGAAGGGCACACACTGAGCTCTCTGAGCGATCTGCCCATGTTGAACAGTTCAGCCTTCAAGCCACACAAGGAGGCAGAACAACATGGGTAGTCCCATTTCACAGATGACACAGCAAAGGCACGGAGAGCTAAGAAATTTGCCCAGGGTCACTTAACTGCTGAGTGACTGCCATGGGGTTGTGGATCAAAAGCGTCGGCCGTTAGGCTCTACCCCGTACCGCAGAGCAGCTGACTGTCGCAAGCAAGCAGCGGGGACTGGAAGGAGTGGGTTAGTTCCATCTTCTTTCCCTTTCACAGAAATGGCAGTTTCTGGGAAGAAATTTTATCCTGAAATGTATTAGCTGCTATGTATTCAGGGTCTAACAGATGCACGGTCTGCTGTTTGTCTCTTGTAACGGGCACACGGAGGCCAACACTTCTTTCTTCTCCGTCACACTGTGTCAGCGGTCACAACACTGAGCCCGTGGTCCAGGGTCACCCAGACCAAGGGCAAGACATGGGTAAAGGTCTCTGCGAGCACAAGGCGTGAGTAATACAGGTTGAGTATCCCTTCTCCAAAATGTGGGGTCAAGATTGTCTTGGATTTGAGATTTTAAAAACATTTTTGGAGTACTTGTGTATATATGTGGGATATCCTGGGGTGGCAACCCAAGTCTAAAATGAAATTCACCTATGAACCTACATACACCTATGTTTCCTATATACCTTATGCATATAAGCTGAGGGTGCATAATTTTATACAATGTTTTCTGTGCACCTGTGTTTGGACTGAGGTCCGTCACATGAGGCCAGGTACAGGATTTCCCACCCGTGTCGAGTTGGCACTCAAAAAGTTTTTGGCCTGGGGGCATTTTGGATTTCACATTAGCAGTGCTCAGTCTCTAATTTTTAATTATAGTTTGTTTTCTAGGTGATATCAAACTGTCCTCACAACCTATCAGAGTAACTATCCAAACCTGTCATTGTTTGTCATTTGTACTTGCTAGGTGACTTTACAGCACTCACACAGACTCACGGAGTCTTCGTTTCCTTGACTATGAAATAATTATTTTTGATACAGGGTCTCACTGTGTAGTTCAGGGTGGCCATGAACTCACTATGTACCCCAGGCTGGTCTCGAACTCACGGCAATCCTCCTGCCTCAGCCTCTCGAGTGCTGGGATTGCAGGCATGTGCCACCATGTCAGGTGCTTGAATGTGAAATAGAATCATGAGTCCAACATTGCCTGTCTCCTAGAGAGGCACCAAGAGAGAAATTTGCTCCTGAAAAACATTACTGTATTTATTTGGCATCTACCATGCGCAGGTTACGTTGTTTCCTGTGAGTGTATTGATGCCAGAGCTTGCTCCTCCCCTGTCACACTGTGTGGTAGGAAAGGATGAGACCACAGAAGCCCATGGTACCGGGATTTGCTAAATGGAAACCAATATAATTGTGCTTTTTATAAGCCAAGGCCAGGTGCTCTAGAGGTGCCGAAAGAAAAGCAACAACCACAGAGCAAGTTGCTTTCCTGCCTCCTGAGTCTGTTTTTTCTGCGTGGCACCTCGACCAGGGGCAGAGGGTAGCATGGAGGGAGCGTTCCAGGCATGGCTCTGGGAGGACCCTCTGCTTTCAGCCGCCGAATAGCTGCCTCTACTCAAACCCCTGACATTGGCACATCCCCTCTCTAGGTGATAACAGTCATAATTTTCCCAGTGATGGGGCAGCTGACAGCAAAACTGTCATACAAAACATGAGCACCTTGAGTGGCCTGTGAGCTGGGGTAGGGGATGGAGTTGGCCAGCAGCTGCCCTTGTACTAGCAGTACCACAGCCAGCTTGGGGTAACATCAGGAGGGGTAAGGGGAGGGAGGATCAGGTCAGAGCCGAGGAGGTGCTCGGAACTTGTGGTGGCTGAGCCCTGCCTTACCCTTTTCCTCTGTGAGGAACTCGTTTTCCCCCAGAGAGAGCCGGGGCAGGACAATACTGTGCTGCATGCTTGTGTTTAGATGGTAAGACTCTGCTAAGGCAAAGCTGGGTGGAAAGCAGAAAGGGTTTTAGAAACACTTAGAAGCCCAGAAAAAAGGATCGAATGTGGCCTCCTAGAGAACTGGAGTTGAAAAACCTCAAAGACCAGCAAGGGCTTCTTTTGTCCTAGCACTTTATACGCATTCTCTGCACCCAGGTCTGTGCAGTGCTCCATAAACCCTTAAGGGACTTCACTACATTGAAAAATAGCGAACGATTGCTATCTTGTTCTAGAGGTCACAAAGCTATTTCACACATATTTTCTCATTCAAACTCACATCAACCTCAAGTGGTAGGTGTTATTTATATCCCCATTTTACAGATTTAGAACCTGAGTCTCAGAGAGATTAGATGACTTGCCTGACACAATTAATCCACCCTAGAGAAGTAAGGGAATTTGGGGACCAAGTTTAAAGGGAAAGAGTCATATGCTGACCACAGTCATTCCTTCTCATCCACTGATATTTTGCAGAAAAGGATGGGGCCTCCACACACACACACACACACAAGTCGACCTTTCCCATCCTGCTGGGATATACCCTCGACTCCTCACCACGCATGGCCACCCAGCCTTCTCCCCTGTCCTTCTCACCCAGTTCCTGCGAGGCCACGAGTTGGAATGTGGGGGTTAAGCTGCCTAAGCTCCCAGCCCTGAGAGCATCCTGACCTGGGATCCCGGGCAGCAGCACTTACTTTTAGCTCCTTCCTCTCTCCCGCTGATCCAGTACGGGGGGTACAGCCCTCTGGCCAGTCCGGAGTCCCTGCCTCTCTAGAAGCTGCCAGCAGGGCACTGTATTCTGCTGTCAAAATCGAAACTGTGCTCAGGGACTGACCCACACCTGGGCTCTTAAAGGGCCACTCTCCCATAGGGCTAGTGGCCAGCAGGCCACGTGACACTCGTGGATCCCTAGTTTTCCTTTCACTCCAGCTCAACCCTTTGGCTCCATTTGATTTCCCTGGGCCTTGGGCGAGCTCTGTGCCTTAGGCATCCTCCATCTCTGCAGCTGCGGAATACGGGACAGAGTGCCCAACACGAAGATCCTGCTCTGTCACTTTCTAGCTGCAAGACCTTGGGCAAGTCTTTCCTTTCCTTCCCTCGTATTCCTTTTTGACTGGAAAATAGGGAAAATAACAGCGCTTCTCCAGGTAAGGACACAGTCAGACATTAAACAGTATAAAACGCCTGGCCTAAGGGATGGTGTGACATCGACACTCGTTTAATCGGGCACAGGTGTCCAGAATGTCTCTCTTAGTCCTCAGCTTCACATCTCCAGCCACCTGGAAACATGCTCTTTCCCCAGCTCCCGAGGATGCTTAACCTGGATTAAGACCCTCTTTACTCACCTTCTGCAAAGACCGCACTACCAGCCCCCGAGCCTGCGGGACCCAGCAGGCAGAGTTTCCAGGAACCCGGGAGGTCATGGTTCTTCCCTTCCCACCCCTTGGCTGCTCCAGGTTCCCCCAAGCCTGGGATGACTCTGGAGCCTCATTAGGGCCTGGGCTCAGCTCCCCATGGTGAGGGGCGCTGGCTGGCCTAGTGGAGGCTAGTCCCTACTAACCTCCCATCCCTACTAATCTCCTGTCCCTACTAAGCAACTTCCCTACTGCAGTTACTCCACGGCAGTTTCCCAGGCCATGAGGTGTTTGGGTTTCCTCAAGTGACTGTAGCTGTCTCACATTGCACGAGTGAATCCCATTCCCCAAAACATAAGCACATACACCCCTCTCCCTTACCTCCATCCCACACACAGAAATCTTGCCCTGTCCTACCTGTGTGGAACTGATCCAGCTCCCCCTGCAGAGACCTACAGGCTAAACCCTAGACAGGGCAGGAGAAAAGGAGAAATAGAGCAGGAGCGGCACAGGGAATTCGGAGGCCTGGGTCTTATTTTAGCTAACCACTTACTCACCCGTGCACACTAAGCCAGAGTCACACATGGTGCTGGCAACGAAAAGAGACCATATTTTCTGCTATGAGCTTAATTTCAGACCCTAAGCCCAAAATTACGTAGTCACTCCTAAGAAAGTAGTTTCAATTCACGGATACCTTGATCATTTCATTCCAGATTAAAAATTCAGTATTGTTCTGGGTTTTCTTTCATTTTCATCCTCTTTCTTTCTCCAGAGAGCAGTGGTAGTGTGGGCAGTGAGAAGAGGGAGCGGCGCACTGTTTCAGTCCTTTCTTGCGGGGCTGTGCTGGCCTTGTGTCCTGGGAGGAAACGGTTTTCTCGTCTGAGAGGTAACTTGTCCTGCCTGGTCAGTGATCCTTTATTCTTGCTCATCCTGAGAGGTCTGTGGTGCAATCTATGTCCCCCTGTCCTATTGCTCACCCCCTTTGGTAGGACTTCCAGACCCCCCAGCACCACCTTGGCTGCTGGTACCTGAACTGCCCCTTCGGGGGCTGTTAGCAATTTCCTTCCTCCCCATTCCAAGGGCAACATCTAGTGAGGGGGGATAAGAGGAGATGGAGATGTGCAGAGACAGTGGGGCGGGGGGCAAACCTGATTCTGCCAGGTGTCAGCTCCTCTCAGACATGTCCTTACACTTCTGTCCGTTTAAACATGAATAGTCAAGGTATTTGCAGGGTATGTGTTCCTGTTTCACAGTAATCACTTCCCCTGAGGCAGGGAGTAACTGGGGTCTTACTGTCCAGCCTGTGGTAGGGGTCATGGAGGCTACTGAATGAGAGCATAGATACTTGAAGAGTCTGTGGGGAGGGCAAGGAACACGTTCATCAAACTGCGGCTTCCCGCACTGCCTGGAGGCACAACCGGCTCTCGTTTCTGCTCCTTCATCCCCCTGTGGTGGGTGGCTCACTAGATCATGTCCTGGCGCGTGTTCCTGGTGGTCTCCAAGCTGCTTTAGTGGGCCATGGCAGACAGCTGTGCACGTGTGCAGCCACACGTGTCCCACATATCCAACAGGCCTGCAGCCCGTGGGTCTCACGTGTCCAGATCAGAGAAAGGGGAAAGGGAAAAGTAGAACTCGAGAGAGTCAGGAAGTCAAAACCCTGTGACCTATTTAGGGCTTTGCCACACTCTGGTGGTGTGATTGATGTCACCAGCTTCCCCTCTCAACTGTGGTTTCCGCATTTGGAACCCAGGGCCCCTGTGACCAATCTTGGGGGAGAAGGGGCTGGGCAAGAGGGTCCAATTGCCCAAATCCATAATAATGGCTAAGTGATACTTAAAATGTACAGATATATAGGATAAGAAGCACAACTTCTCCTTTGCCCTTAGTTACTCTGGGTGTCCAATGGAGAGTTTCAGAGACACGGGCCTAGAGCCGGCACACTTGTGTCCTGGTCCTCCCTCTAATTTGCCGGATGACCTTTGCCAAACTCTTTCTCCTTTAGCATAGGTGCTGTCGAAACAAGCACGTCTTCCTCCTTTAGGTCTGCAGGTTTTCATCTGTTAAAGGAAAAGGCCAAGGCCAAATGGGTCCCAAGCCCCTTCCATTTCTAGGATTCTGCATTTTGATTGAGCACTGTCTTGGTTTTCTGTGGCAGCTGTAACAAAAGCTGCAACGTTGGTGGCTTTACACAATAGAAATTCATTCTCTCTCAGTTCTGGAGGCTGGAAATCCAACATCAGAGCGTTGGCAGAGCCCCCTCCCTATGGATGCTCCCGGGGAGAATTCGTTCCTTTCCCCTTCTAGCTTCCAGCTGCGGCTGGCATCCTTGGCACTGTTGGTGGGTGGCTACCTCCTGCGACTTTTCCTTCCAGGGTCACTTTCCTTCTGTGTGTGTCTAGATATCCTTCTACCTTTCTCTCATGGGGACACTTGAGATGCACTTAGAACTCATTCAGATAACTGAAGATGATGTTCTCATTTCAAGGCCCTGAACACAATTGTGTCTACAATGGCTCTTTCCTCAGATAAGGCCACATTCACAAGTCCTTGGGATTGGGATACAGACATAGCTTGGGAGAGGAGGTTTCTGAAAAAACCTACCATAAATATCCACGGTGACCATGACCAGTTAAAAGTCCAGGGAGATTAGAGACTCATAAGAGTCTACATTCTTATTCCCCAAGGGTTGACACATAGCCCAGCGAGGCACCATCACCCATGCAGAGCACTGTCAAGGAGCAGCACTGACCAGAAGACAGCAAGCCACACAGAGGGCTGGGTTCTGCACCTAGACAGCCCTGGGTCCACATCCAGACCTCACCTTCTGCTATCCATGGGACTTTGGGCAAATTATTTAATGTCTTTGGGCTTAACTATACTATCTCCATAAGGATGTTATAAAGATTAAGTATAACACACACAGTGGCTGGCAACTAAAAGGTGCATATGATTCGGCATCAGTGAGAGTCATAGCCCCACTGAACGGGAGAGGTCCGAAGAAAGAAGTGAAATGCCTTCCCCAATGTGCATGGTGAGGTAATGGCATGGCAGGGTCTTCTAGCCATGGACATTTCCTTTACTTCCCAAAGCCTCCACTCTCAGTTTGAATCTTTTGGATTATATTTATACAGAGAGCAATGTATTTATACCCTGGGGTGATCTGGAGAGAACCGGAGAGGGTCCAATTCACACAGATCCAACCTTCAGACTTTCGTCATTCGCTTGATGCTCCAAGACACTGATCTAATCCGCTGTAGAGAGGAGCCTCGTGCCGTACCGGCCTTTTCCACCTTCCAGGGCCTGTCTGACACAGCTCAGCATGGACGGTTCCTGTGCAGATTGCTTTTGCCAAACCAGCAAGAGTGAAGAGATGAAATGCTGTTTGCTGCCCGCTCTACCTACCCATCAGCAGGTCTTCAGCTGAGTCAATGTTTAACCCTTGTCTGGAGTCAATGTTTAACCCTAGGCCAGCCAGCCCTATAATCCAGCATTCCCTTGAAGCCTGACATATAGAGTCATTTTTGTATTAATCAGTGGAAAATAGAATAGAATAGAATTTGTATTAATCAGTGGAAAATAGAATTGTGACTCTGCCAAAGCCAAAGCCTTGCCATCTTTGTAAAAGATATTGAATTTTGGAATTTATCTCTGTTACTTTTCTCTTGTTGCTGAGACAAAATACCCAACACCCAAAATAAAGGAAGGAAAGGTTTATTTAGATCACAGTTTGTGGAGGTTTCAGCCTATAATCAGCTGGCTCCAAGGCAGGGTGGCAGGGCACAGCGGCAACACTTTAAGGTGGCACAAGACAGCGAAAAGCAGCAAGACCAAAAATGGGGGGTGTGGCCAAGCCTCTTTTCCCCCCTTATATTGTGTGCAACCTACTCGCCCCAAAAGTATACCCACACCATCTTTACACCCACACCCACACTATGTGCCCTCCTCTTGCACAGACTCAGGATGAATACAGAGTAAGGACGCTGGTTCCCTGCTGAGTCACATAGTTAACCTTCTAAACTTCTCAAGTTGACACAATGAACAACAGCCTAGAGAAGCAAGGTCATGTCCTTTTCACCCCAGGATGTAGAACTGCAGAGTTACTTAGTTAAGCTTCTAGACTCCTCAAGCTGACACAATGTACCAACCCTAACAAAATTATTCAAACCCCAGTTAGCCACCCCTCCACTCCCCCAGCAGATAACGCTTGGATTGGCAGGAACACAGCACTGGTTCCCCTTGTTCAGCTCGGCTTTTGAGCTAGGGGAGAAGAGCATGCGGTGGGGATGGATGCCCTTGTAGCTCAGCTGGCAGCTGCATTGCTGCTTTCTAACAGCAGCCTAAGGGTGGCCATTGCCTCGAATCTCACTAGGAGAGCTGGAACTGAAATAGTCCAGTTGGCTGGGCTTGGGCGAGCTTTTGAAGGATTATGTTTGGAGACCTAAGCCTTTTTTCAGGTGAGTCTTCCAGGTGTGAGAGGGA